ATATATGATGCCTTTATTTATTAAATAATACATGTCCATATTGCTTTAAATTTTATGAAAAAAAAATTTATAAACTAACAAAATCTTATTTAGATCGATTAAAGTTTGGAATTAGTGAGAATGAAATAATTGAACCTAATAATAATGAAGTCGAAGATGATAATGAAGTCGAAGATGATAATGGAGTCAAAGATAATAATGGAGTTAAATATGATAATGAAATCAGAGATAATAATGATAATATTGGTCAAATTGAAATAGATAGTAATATAAGCAATCGCCTTGATGCAGCTTTATGCTTGTTTTAAATATTTATTTATTCCTAATGTTAAATTGACACAAATGTCTTTTTCATATAAAATAATAAAAAATAAATATGTTTCGCTTGTTTTGCTTACAATTGGAACTAAAATTACAGTAGTACAAATACAAATACACATAATCATAATCACTAATTTTGGTGACCATTTTTAAAATTTATTAGCCAATCATAACGAACTTCACCTATGCTTTTCAAATAAATATAAATATAACTGATCAAAAATATGAAATAATAGACAATTTACAGCTGATTTGAAAATTAGTGGGACTCGTGGTGAATTTTGTAATGATCATCAGCAAATTTCAGTAATTATTTTTCAGTAATAAAAGTATAGTTTTCGATAATATAATTTTTGGCTGGTACAAAACATACCGTGATAATATATCGGGCAAAAATTATATTATCGAAAAAAATATATACTTTTATTACCTAAAAATACCGAAATTTGGATGATCATCACAAAATTCATCAGTGTCCCACTAATTTTCAAATCAGCTGTAAATTTAGAAAATTTTCCTCAATCATCATCACAAAAATCATGGATCACATCTATTTGCAAAATGCTATTATTAGCAGCTTTGTTGTCATTCGATTCTAATCAGTATCGCTGGTAATCGGCAAAGCCACTAGCTGTCCCACAAAAAATTGTTCACTCTTGCGATTAGTGACAAGTAGGTAGGCGTGATATTTAGACATGTTACACTAAAATAGCATAAAATCTAGGCTACGTTTCTAAAATTCATAACCATGGTGTCACACCTAACAAACTTAATATGCCAATTCTATATCATTTCTTTTTTAGGGTATATTAATTTCTTTTTAAGGCTAAAATTTACAGTGTGACCAATTTATTTCTCATGATATAGAAGTACCTGATTTATGTTAATTCGGAATCAACACATGTGATTTGTGAATCAATGAAAAAATATTTATCAACAATAAATAAAAATTAAATGCTAAAAAAACAGAATGCTGTATTTTTAATTAAAAAAAGTCAAAAAAAAATGAAAGCTAAATGAGCCTTTGAAAAATAATTTTTAAATATAATTAGCAAAATTCATTCATGTCATCTTGAAAATAATAAATTACTACTAAATGAGCACAATATTATACTGCAACTGGTCTTTCTGTAATCGCAAAAAATATTAGTTTTTTTAAGTGTAGATACCTTCAAAATAGTAGATACATTCGATAATCTATACTATAAAATATAGACTTTATGTGATAAGACAACTCACCAGAGGCGTGATATTGGTTATTTAGATTATATAAAAGAATTATTATCAGGTTAGTGAGCTTATGTGCCCCTTTCTCGCATATAAGTGTCGCAACTAGCCTAACCAAGTTACATCCTTTTTATAACTTAAAGGACTAGTAAAGCTTAAACTGAACTTACTTGATTGTATGTGGCTTTATTTCTATTTGCCGAGGTATGCCACATTTAACAGTAAAAACCTATATTTCTTTGATTACGAGTTTACTGTGCCTAATTTCATAGATTTACTTTTAGCCTATTACACCACTATGCATGGCAGAATTTTATTATAACTAGTCAATTTTGTAGATCATCTTGTGAAACTGTAAAAATTTTATCAGTTAAACTATAACTAAATTATAGTAAATAAAGAAAACTATATATACAAAGAAAGTAACTAAATTCAATACTGACTAAATCTTTACCACCTTTATCATAATATCTTAATAACTTTAAACCTAAAATTATAATTTTGTCGCAAATAAAGTTTTAACAACTAAAATTTTATTAAGAGAAAATCCTTGTATATTACAAATCAAAAAAAAAATAAAATAAAATAAAATAAAAAAATGGAGTAAAATAAAAAAAAATAAAGTAAAATAAAAAAATAAAGTAAAAAATAATAAAGTAAAATAAAAAAAAATAAAATAAATAAAAAAATAAAGTGAAATAAAAAATAAAAAAAAATATATAAAATAAAAAATTACAAAAAGTAAATATTTAAACTATTCTTAACACTAATAAAATAATCAAACCTACTTTTATACTTGTTCTAACACAAACCTAATTTTTAATTTTATGCAATAATTAACAATCATTCATTATACAGTTACAAAACTACTCTATACTCTATTTTAATCTTTTTACAAAGCTTATAAGCTTTATTACTTAACTTCAAATTATAGTAGGATTTTTTTATTAGTTGAAATTGTAAAAAAAAAGCTTTACAAGCAAAAGATAGCCTAAATTGCTAAGTTTAATTAATTTATTATACTTGTAAGCTAAGCTTAAACATTTAAATATACCTCTCATATAATTTTTTTTTTTTTTTTTTTTTTTTTTTTTTTTATTAATATAATGTTATAGTAGAAACTTTGTTACAATAAACCTATATTAATCTAAAGATT